CAGGTATTTTTACTCCAGCAAGGCAGAAACAAAGCCAGAAATGCTCCCTCACCCTCTAAAATTTTTTTAAATCGAAAAAACCACCCTTAAATAGAAAAATTCAAATTTAAGAAGTAAAAAAATATTAAATTACCGGCTTTTTTTAAAGACAGAACCTTACATGAATGCAGTTTTGCTCTACTAATTAAAAAAAATAAAGCCAGCATTGATCCATCACCCTCTGAATTTTTTTAAATAAAAAAAACTACCCTTAATCTGAAGAATCAAACTTAGGAGGTAAAACAATAAAATAACTGTTAAAAAATTTTATAACCAGATATTTTTACTCCAGCAATGCACAAACAAAGCCAGAAATGCTCCCTCACCCTCTAAAATTTTTTTAAATCGAAAAAACCACCCTTAAATAGAAAAATTCAAATTTAGGAGATTAAAAATTAAATAACTGACTTTTTTAAAACAGAACCTTACTACATCTATGTTTTTTCGCTCCTCTAACTCAAAAACAAAGCCACCATTGATTCATCAATCTCTGAATTTGTTTAATCGAAAAAACTACCCCTAATCTGAAGAATCAAATTCAGGCGGTAATACAATATAATAACTGATTAAAAATTTTACAGCCAGGTATGTTTCCGCATTGCTGGAGTAAAAATACCTGGATATAAACTTTTTTAATCAGTTATTTTTTTGTTTTACCTCCTAAGTTTGGTTCTTCAGATTAAGGATAGTTTTTTTTAATTAAAAAAATTCAGAGGGTGATGGATCAATGCTGGCTTTATTTTTTTGAGTTAGTAAAGCAAAACTACATACATGTAAGGTTCTGTTTTTAAAAAAAGCCGGTAATTTAATATTTTTTTACTTCTTAAATTTGAATTTTTCTATTTAAGGGTGGTTTTTTCGATTTAAAAAAATTTTAGAGAGTGAGGGAGCATTCCTGGATTTATTTCTGCCTTGCTGGAGTAAAAATACCTGGTTATAAAATTTTTTAATCAGTTATTTTATTGTTTTACCTCCTGAATTTGATTATTTAGATTAGGGGTAGTTTTTTCGATTAAAAAAATTCAGGGGGTGCTAGATCAATGCTGGCTTTGTTTTTTTGAGTTAGTAGAGCAAAACTACAAACATGTAAGGTTCTGTTTTTAAAAAAAGACGGTAATTTATTATTTTTTTACTTCTTAAATTTGAATTTTTCTATTTAAGGGTGGTTTTTTTGATTTAAAAAAAATTTAGAGGGTGAGGGAGCATTTCTGGATTTGTTTCTGCCTTGCTGGAGTAAAAATACCTGGTTATAAAATTTTTTAATCAGTTATTTTATTGTTTTACCTCTTGAATTTGATTCTTCAGATTAGGGGTAGTTTTTTCGATTAAAAAAATTCAGGGGGTGCTGGATCAATGCTGGCTTTGTTTTTTTGAGTTAGTAGAGCAAAACTACAAACATGTAAGGTTCTGTTTTTAAAAAAAGCCGGTAATTTATTATTTTTTTACTTCTTAAATTTGAATTTTTCTATTTAAGGGTGGTTTTTTTTATTTAAAAAAAATTTAGAGGGTGAGGGAGCATTTCTGGATTTATTTCTGCCTTGCTGGAGTAAAAATACCTGGTTATAAAATTTTTTAATCAGTTATTTTATTGTTAGGTTGAGAAATAGAGAAATTCGAACTGAGAACTTTCTGGATAACTGATTCCATCCAATTAATCTACTACTTACTTTGAAGATCTAAAATTTAAATTTTTCATTCGCGGAATCATTTTCTTGTAACAGTGTAATGTTATAGCAGACATGAAAATATTTATATAACACTCACAGAGATACGAAAGTTTAAGTTTGGTTTTTGTAATTTTTTGATGAATCATAAAATGAGACACAAATTTCAAATTTTGCTATTTCAAGTAATGACTTTGTAAAGTTTAATTTATATATATTTAACAAAAGTAACAATTGTCCAACTATGTATTTTAACATAAAATATCCTTATATTTGTAAAAAACTTATTCAATGATTATGACCTATTTTTTTAGCAACAAAATTTAATAAAAGAATCTGACTTAAAAATCTTATAACAGAACACTCATTGGATAGTAAATTTCATTGAACTCATCCACTGCATTCTTGGGGTACTCCAGATGTTACATTTCGTTTAAGAAATATCATAGTAACATAGATGTTCCTTTAAAAATCACATAAATTAGGTTGAGTAATAGAGAAATTGGAACTGAGAACTTTCTGGATAAATGATTCCATCGAACTAATCTACTACATTATTACGGTACCCAATGTTTTTCATTTCATATACGAAATCAAAATTTAAACATTTTTTTTCTCTGTTAAACTACATAATTAGGTTGAGAAATAGAGAACTCCGAACTGAGAACTTTCTGGATAAATGATTGTATTGAACTGATCTACTACTTAAGTTTGGGATCTAAAGTTTTAACTTTTCATTTGCGCAATTATTTTCTTGTAACAGTGTAATGTTTTGGCAGAAAAGAAAATATTTATATAACATTTACCCAACATTTTTCATTTCATTTACGGAATCAAAATTTAAACATTCTACTTCTTTGTTAAACTACAATAATTAGGTTGAGAGATAAGGAAGTCCGAAATTAGAACTTTCTGGATAAATGATTCTATTGAACTGATCTACTACATACTTTGGGATCTAAAGTTTTAACTTTTCCTTTGTGGAATCATTTTCTTGTAACAGTGTAATGTTATAGCAGTACAGAAAATATTTATATAACATTCACAGAGAAACCAAAGTTTAAAATTATTGGGTTTTGCAATTTTTTGATGAACCATAAAAAGAGACACAAATTTCAAATTTTGCTATTTTACATAATGACTTTGTAATGTTGAATTTATATATAATTAACAAAAGTAACAAATGTCCAACTATGTATTTTAACATAAAATATCCTTATATTTGTAAAAAACTTATTCAATGATTATGACCTATTTTTTTAGCAACAAAATTTAATAAAAGAATCTGACTTAAAAATCTTATAACAGAACACTTATTGGATAGTAAATTTCATTGAACTCATCCACTGCATTCTTGTGGTACTCCAGATGTTACATTTCGTTTAATAATTATCATAGTAACATAGTTGTTCCTTTAAAAATCACATAAATTAGGTTGAGAAATACAGAAATTGGAACTGAGAACTTTCTGGATAAATAATTCCATCGAACTAATCTACTACATTATTACGGTACCCAATGTTTTTCATTTCATATACGGAATCAAAATTTAAACATTTTTTTTCTCTGTTAAACTACATAATTAGGTTGAGAAATAGAGAACTCCGAACTGAGAACTTTCTGGATAAATGATTGTATTGAACTGATCTACTACTTAAGTTTGGGATCTAAAGTTTTAACTTTTCATTTGCGCAATTATTTTCTTGTAACAGTGTAATGTTTTGGCAGAAAAGAAAATATTTATATAACATTTACCCAACATTTTTCATTTCATTTACGGAATCAAAATTTAAACATTCTACTTCTTTGTTAAACTACAATAATTAGGTTGAGAGATAAGGAAGTCCGAAATTAGAACTTTCTGGATAAATGATTCTATTGAACTGATCTACTACATACTTTGGGATCTAAAGTTTTAACTTTTCCTTTGTGGAATCATTTTCTTGTAACAGTGTAATGTTATAGCAGTACAGAAAATATTTATATAACATTCACAGAGAAACCAAAGTTTAAAATTATTGGGTTTTGCAATTTTTTGATGAACCATAAAAAGAGACACAAATTTCAAATTTTGCTATTTTACATAATGACTTTGTAATGTTGAATTTATATATAATTAACAAAAGTAACAAATGTCCAACTATGTATTTTAACATAAAATATCCTTATATTTGTAAAAAACTTATTCAATGATTATGACCTATTTTTTTAGCAACAAAATTTAATAAAAGAATCTGACTTAAAAATCTTATAACAGAACACTTATTGGATAGTAAATTTCATTGAACTCATCCACTGCATTCTTGTGGTACTCCAGATGTTACATTTCGTTTAATAATTATCATAGTAACATAGTTGTTCCTTTAAAAATCACATAAATTAGGTTGAGAAATACAGAAATTGGAACTGAGAACTTTCTGGATAAATAATTCCATCGAACTAATCTACTACTTACTTTGGGATCTAATTTTTAACTTTTCATTTGCGGAATTATTTTCTTGTAACAGTATAATGTTATAGCAGTAAAGAAAATATTTATATAACATTCACAGAGAAACCAAAGTTTAAGATTATTGGGTTTTGCAATTTTTTGATGAATCATAAAAAGAGACACAAGTTTCAAATTTTGCTATTTCAAGTAATGACTTTGTAAAGTTTAATTTATATATAATTAACAAAAGTAACAATTGTCCAACTATGTAATTTAACATAAAGTCTCCATATATTTTTAAAAAACTTTTTAAATGATTATGACCAATTTTTTTAGCACTAAAATTAAATAAAGTAATCTGACACATAAATCTTGTAACAGAACACTCATTGGATAGTAAATTTCATTGAACTGATCCACTGCATGCTTTGGGTACTCCAGATGTTACATTTCGTTTAAGAAATAACATAGTAACATAGTTGTTCCTTTAAAAATCACATTAGATAGTTAAAGTAAAATTAATACTAAATTTATTAACTTATTTGAGATAAAACAGGTAAAGCGATTTTTACAGAGCGGTTCTATATGATGCGTACGAAAGACAAACAGAAACTAAAAACTTCGCAGATACCACTACATACGACGCACACAAGTTGTCCCTCTGCGGGCAAACTAAGGAATCATCCTTGATTTAAAAAGACCGCGAAATAAAATTTAAAAAAAAAGTAAATGAAATGCGATGAAATCGTAAACATACCGCCTACCTTGCGAGCTTATTTTAAGATTGCAATGGTCACAATAGAACAAAAGGTACGAACTTAAAACTAATTGTCGAAATTACAAGAATACGTATTAGGTTACAAATATTATGAATAGTTGCACGGTAATCGAATTAATTGTGTGATTGGACGAGTAAATTCAGACGCACTCGTCTTTACTTGAACGACTCTAACGTGACCGTCTTGACCGGGAATACATTTAATGACACGTCCTAATTCCCATTTAGCGGGTGGGAGATTAGGATTTCGTAGTAAAACAACATCGTTAATTTTCAAATTAACTCGCTCTGACAACCACTTTGTTCGCTGTTGCAGTGACTGTAAATAATCTTTGGACCATGAGCGCCAAAACTGTTCTAAGACACGTTTATAAAACTGCCAACGCGACAAGTGGTTCTCAGGTAGATCCAGAACAGATATCGCAGGTACAGTTTTTAACGCAGATCCGATTAAAAAATGTCCAGGAGTTAATGCTTCGCAACTCTCTGGATCTTCGTTTAGTTGAACAATAGGTCGAGAATTTAAGCAGCATTCGATTTGACAAAGTAAAGTCGTTAATTCTTCGGAAGTCGGTGTAGCGTTTGATAATAATGTACGCAAATGAAATTTTACATTTTTTACGCCAGCTTCCCACAGACCTCCAAAATGCGGCGCAGACGGAGGCATGAAGTGCCACGTGATTCCGTCTGAGGCCATGTAAGAAGCAATCGTCGGATCTTTCATAATGAGCTTAAATGTATGTGACAATTCGCGATCAGCACCGCGAAAATTCGTGCCATTGTCACTATAAAGATCTGTTGGCAAACCTCGACGTAAGGTAAAGCGTCTCAAAGCTGCGAGAAAAGCAGCTGACGTATAATCGTCAACAAGCTCCAAATGTATGGCTTTAACAGAAAAACAAACAAAAACAGCGATCCAAGCCTTATGTGACTTGGTTCCGCGACCCGAACTAGAGCGGACCAAAAATGGACCCGCGTAATCAATTTCGGTATGAGAGAAAGGACGAGAAGGAGATACTCTAGCACTAGGTAAATCTCCCATAAGTTGGTTTTCAACACGCGCTTTGTCTCTCACGCAAGTGACACATTTCCTGATAATTCCTTTAATGAGATTTCGCGCACCAATAATCCAATATTGAGTGCGAGCAATATAAAGAGTCAACTGAACTCCCCCGTGTAATAAATTTTTGTGCAATTGTGTCAAAATTAAAAAGGAAATCGGATGATTAGGTAGAATATCTGGTGGGTTTTGGTAAGTCAATAACTTAGACTAGCGTAGTCGTCCGCCCAATCTAAGGATACCATTGTCATCGAGAAAGGGTGAGAACTTTTGTATGCGAGAACTTGGGGGAATTGGTTTTCCTTCCTTGAGACACTGAATTTCGTGAGCAAAAGAATTTTCTTGAACGTATTCAACCCAAAATAAAGCGGCATTGTTGATTTCGGTAGCCGTCACTTGATTCGAAAACAAAATTTGGCGTTTAAAGGCTTAAATAGCTCGTAAAATTTGAGCAGTCACACGCAATAAATGTGCACAAGATGAATAGTGAGACATCAGTTGTGATTGCCAATCAGGTTCGAGGTTATTGTAGATCAGATGAGAAACTATACGAGACTCTTCGGTAGTTTCCAGACCACAATTTCGTCGAGGCCATGTCTCCGGTGAATCTAGCAGCCAAGTGGGACCCTCCGACCAAAGGGAAAAGGTTGACAAGTCCTCCGCTGAGAGTCCACGTGAGGCACAATCCGCGGGATTTTGCTTAGAAGGAACATGATTCCACGTAGCTGCAGGCAACTCCGTTAAAATACCTGACACACGATTTGCAACGAAAGTAGTCCAGGAAGTTGGTTGCTTCTGAAGCCAACTGAGAACAATTGTAGAGTCTGTCCAGCAAAAAACTTGAGAATTCATTAAACCGAGAGAATCAATAACAAAATGAATTAATTTAGACAAAAGGCTTGCGGCACATAATTCGAGTCGTGGGATGCTTATTGTCTTGAGCGCAGCAACTTTTGTTTTGGACCTGAGGAGACTGACTAAAACATCACCTGAAGCGGACCGAATTTGAGAGTATACGACTGCAGAATATGCGACACTCGACGCAGCCATGGATTTGTATCGAGACTGCATCAGAAGAATTATGCGTCCATCTTGGAACTGAAAGATTTGACAAGGCCGACAATGAAGATCGAAATTGATTCCAATCTTTAAGCAAGTCCGAGGAAAGAGAATCGTCCCAGTCTAGCTTTCGAAGCCAGAGTTTTTGCAAAAGAATTTTTGCAATAATTGTCACAGGCGAAATCCAACCCATTGGGTCGAATATTTTCGCGGTAGCCGAGAGTATTGATCTTTTTGTTGCAGGTTCTTCAGGAATTTCAAAAGTTTTGAAGTGAAAGGCATCATCTGACGGTTTCCAAAAAATTCCGAGGACTTTGAAACCTGAAGAATCGTCAAAAGGGATCTCAACTGCTAAACCATGATCAGCAGAATCCAATCCGTCTAGTAAATCAGGAGAATTACTAAACCATTTCCGTAATGGGAATCCCCCAGCATTTGTCATATTAATGACTTGATCTCTCACCTTGAGTGTGGAGGTTTTATCCGATCCTCCAAGAAAAACGTCATCAACGTAGGTTTGCTCCAAAAGCACGGAAACAGCTAAAGGAAAATTGTCCTTTTCGTCATGTGCCAACTGTCTCATTACGCGAATGGCAAGATATGGCGAAGACACCATTCCGTAGGTAACAGTATTTAATTCAAACACATGGATCGGACACTTAGGAGCTTCTCGCCACAAAATACATTGATATTTTTGATGGGCAGGATCGATGAGAATCTGGCGAAACATATTAGCAATATCAGCACACAACACGAATTCAAATTGACGCCATCATAAAATGATGGAGCAAATATCTGTTTGTAATTTTGGACCGATGTGTAAAATGTCATTAATCGAGGTTTTGTTGGACGTTGGACTCGAAGCATTAAAGACGACTCTAACTTTCGTTGTTTGGCTACTTTCGCGAACGACAGGGTGGTGCGGAATAAAGACACGAGATGAATCAGTCTGGTCAACGTCAACTGGAGTCATATGTCCCATCTCTTGATACTTTCCTAGAAAATCACGATAATTTTCAGCAAGCAGAGGATCACGAGTAAATCTTTTTTCTATTCTACACAACGAATTGAGAGCTATGTTATAAGAGTCACCTAATTTCGAGGGGGAATCATCAAAAGGTAATTGAACTACATATTTTCCATTTAAGTCTCTAGAATGTGTCTCCATAAAATGATGCTCACATTCAATTTCTTTTTTTGTCATTAAATTCACTGCTGGTATCTCTTTCAATTCCCAAAATTGACGCAAGCTTTCGTCAACTCGGGTTTCCATGGAAAAGTGGACATTAATGTGATAACTTTGAAGAGGAGATCCTTGTAGTGGTCCTGATAAGATCCAACCAAATATAGTTGACTGAGCAACGAGATCTCCACGTGGTCCAGGACAAATCTCAGGTTTGAGCAATTGAGCGTACAGATCGGCTCCAATCAGCAAATCGATCCGGTCACTTTCCCATGGATTTAGATCGGCAAGTTCGAGACTTTAAAGATTTTCAGGAATTTCTAAAAGGGTAAATTCAGCTGGAACATATGCAGTGATTTTTGGAAGTACGAATGCTTGAGTTTGGAGCGTGGTTGAACAAGGTTTAATCGTTTAAATAGTGATAGGAACGGAATAAAGGATTTTATTCGTACAACTTCCTCCCAAACCGGACACTGTAACATTCGTATTTTTGCGTGGAAGACGTAATAATTGAGCAATTAATTCGGACAAAAACGTATCTTCTGACCCTTGGTCAAGAAGAGCGCGGACATGAACGCGGCGGCCATCAGGCGCCTCAACCATCACTCGAGCGGTTCCCAACAGAACAGTAGTGCGGTATTTTTAGACGAGTTCAAATGCGATGAAATCGCCACATCATCAGACACTTGATTTGATTCTGAAACGCTATGATCAGTTTTTAATTCGCGACTTTGTGACAAATTTTTATTATCGCGATGCAATAAAGAATGATGAGGCTTTTTACAAATATTACAAAATTTTCGGCTCTGACATAAATTGCGATTATGCTTACCTAAACAGTTGAAGCATCGTGAATTAGCCTTTAAATATTCAGAACGTTCATCAATTGTTTTTTCTTTAAATACAGAACAAGCATAGAGGTTATGTTCTCTGTTACACATTGGACATACAAACTTTGTTGAGTTTTGATGCGTGTGTACCTTCTTGAGTACCGACTGCGAATGATTTGAATTTTTACTTTCAGGACGCTTTTTAATATCTACTGTAGCTTCTAAAGCGCGAATTCGAGAATCAAGAAATTTAACAAATTGATCGAGAGAGGGAGGATCTGTCTCTTCACTAATTGACAATTCCCACTGATCACGAGAAATTTTATCTAACTTGTTTATTAACATAAAAACTAACAAATCATTCCCTTCATCGATAGGACGTTTTAGACTTTTTAAAGCAGATGTCGCAGTAATAACAACGTTACGCATAGTTTTTAAATTATTCAACCAATCTGATGTGACAGGTGGCAATTCAACAATCTTTTTTAAATATTCATATATTAAAACTTTAGAATTACTATAACGAGTTTCGAGATTTTCACAAATATTCTGAAAATTGCCATCTGTCCCTGGTTGATTTTGAGCAATTATTAATGCCTCACCTTTAAGAGATGATTTGAGATAATGAAGACGCTCTGCATCCGACAAGCGATCGTTGTCAATTACAAGAGATTTAAACAGATCTCTAAAGGTGAGCCACTCACAATACGAACCTGAGAAAGTGGGTATAGTAATGCGAGGAAGTTTTACAGATGATGATGCTCCTCGTGGCGTTGCATCTGGATCTGGTGGTTGAGAACGGTCTTGTACCGGCATGGGCGGTGGCTCAGGAAGACTGCTAAGTATGTGGTATATGGCCTCCTCATACAAGTCCTCAATCTGATTAAACTCATCAGAATTATAAATTGTAATTGTTGTCTCTCCTCCTTCGGCTTGATTAGGAGGATCTATTATTGGAGGATTTGCAAGTAAAGCGGCATGATTTTGTCGACACCTCAGCCAGCAATCTTGTAAATTTGTTAGGCGTCCTAACAACAGTTGTCGAGGTGGATTTTCGTAATTTAAAACACGATTAACAATCTTTTCGATAGAGTTAAATAGAGTTTCTTGGTCACTTAACACTCGTTCATAACTAGTCGTGGCCATGTTTGTTACAGGAAAAATAGCCGACCACGCTAAGTAAAATATAGTGAAAAAAATTTTTCATGAAAAAAGGTTCTCGATACTGAGAAAAAAAGTAAAATAGCACCAAAATATTGCGGAAAAAACACAATAAAGTCTTAAAAAAAGTACTTTTTGACTATTCAAGTCACTTGAGAGAATAAAAAAATGCAATATATAAAGGAAAAATCCCTTAAGCGTCACTTAACACAAAGCACTGATTTCACTTTCTTTTCTCCTTTTTGGAAATCCGGCTCGAAGGACCATGTTATGAATTTAAACAGTTTAACATAAAGGACTTGTGAAAAAAAGGAGAATAAGATAGTGAAAGTAAAATTAACACTGAATTTATTAACTTATTTGAGATAAAACAGGTAAAGCGATTTTTACAGAGCGGTTCTATATGATGCGTACGAAAGACAAACAGAAACTAAAAACTTCGCAGATACGACTACATACGACGCACATAAGTTGTCCCTCTGCGGGCAAACTTACTTTGGAATCTAAAGTTTTAACATTTCATTTGCGGAATCATTTTCTTGTAACAGTGTAATGTTATAGCAGACATGAAAATATTTATATAACACTCACAGAGATATCAAAGTTTAAGATTGGTTTTTGTAATTTTTTGATGAATCATAAAAAGAGACACAAATTTCAAATTTTGCTATTTCACGTAATGACTTTGTAAAGTTTAATTTTTATATATTTAACGAAAGAAACATATGTCCCACTGTGTAATTTAACATAAAATCCGTATTTTTTAGCGTTTATTAATTTTCCAAATGGAAATTGCATTTTTTATTGTAATTTCTGAGAAAGTATTGTTACAGTTTTTGTGAAGAAAGTGCTCATATTTAATTTATTGAAATGAAATATTTTTCATTATTATAACTCAAAAAAAGTTTTAGCTGGTGTATATCTTGCCAATAATCAATTATCCATAAAGGAAAAAGCATTTTACCTTCTTGTTTTAAAGAAAAGGCTGTTGAAAATTTTCCAAAATTTTAGTTTCAATGTAGATGGCGCTGCCTCACTTGGACCTGGCCTTAATTCCTTTGCCTACATGGACCGTTAGAAATTGTTCTTATTTATTCGAATGGAACGAGTATTAGAGATTAAGAGAAAAGAAAGTATAATGATATGCAAGAAAATATTAATTTCTTATATTAAGATTTCAAATAGAAACTCAAATTAGTTTTTAAGCATAATAAAGTATTGCAATCAAATATTACTCACAACTTACTTATGTGCTTTCCTTGAAGGAAAGTATACGTAGTATGGTTAAATAATTTATATGTTTAGATATTTTAACGATGTTCAAAATTGGTCGGAAGTCAATACAGGTACCAGATTTTAATTATCATTTATCGAAAGTACAAATACTCCCATTTTTGACCATATTTAACACTGGAATCCAAAATAAATTACACCGAGTACAATGGTTCGCATGGAACATGCAGTATTATTGTTTAATTGGACAACTAAGTCCGAATCCGGTTTCGGAATGAATAAACAAATCTATTACTGATGGGTCAAAGGTTAAAGTACAGAAACCCGGATAAAGACAATTAACATATTATACCACACTAAAATAATAAGATTATTATTATTCGATATAATAGATAATGCTTCTGAAAAAGATTTTGTGTAAATCTAACAGGATCATTTATAAAAATACGAAAATCTTACAGTTTGTGGTTTCACGTAATATCATGCCTTAAATTATTTCTGTAACGCATACTTTGAGGATTTTTGTTATAGTGTAGTGTGCATGTTAGTTGGCTCTAATTATATAAGTAACGCATACTTTGAGGACTCATTAATAAAATTGTACTGAAATTATGCGTTTTTTCGAAAAACTACAAAAATTTCAATGGTTCCCTCTTGAAAGATATTTGTTTTCTTGAGAGTAGTCTATTTTTGGTTGAATGTTTTATGATTTCTACTGTTATAATCATCAAAGATTGTTATAGTTCTATCTTTATCATTGTTATTCAACTTTAGATAAAAAATAATTTATGAATTTATATATTATCATTTGTGTATATTATGGATTGTATTGTACTTGAATTATTGTCCTCATGGTTTGCTTGGACAAAATAAAGAAATAAAAATAATAATAATATAAGGACGGACCTTTTGTTCCCATGTACTCGTGGGATCTAAATGGAGACTACAGAAAACAACAAAAACAAAAGTGTTTCGCCTGAGAGTACCGAACACTCTTTGGAGAGTCGGGATTCAGGGCTTGAGATATTGCTGCAGGAAGAAAGGGCACATTTAACGTTAACTTCAGCCTCGGTAATATCGCCTCAGGATGAAATGAAACCTGAAAGGGAACAATATATTTCTGAGGCTCTAATACAGAAAAGTTCGGGACGATCTCAGGGTTCCACTGTTACTGTGGTCGAAGACCTAATGGCGAGATAATCCGTTAAGGGTAAAAAGCTCAGTGGCAGCGCAACAAGGAGGTTGGAGAATCCAAGGGTACAGAACCGGCAAGGGTCTCAACCTGCTTCATCATCGACTTCTATGCGGGCCAACAGTAAAGCT